TATTTTCTAATTACATTAGAATATTTAATTAAAATCTTACAGATATCTATAATAATATCTTAACAACATATATATTATGGATATCTATAGTAGAGATATCTTAAACAACTATAATAAAATACTTTATATGTGTATATGTGTGTATGCACAAGTAGTGCATCAATAATATCACAACTTGTTGTTATTGTTTAATATTAAAACAAATGTCATTTAAATCATCTCATCCCATTGAGGAAACTTATGAAGATGTACAAGCGGGTTTGCAATTTCCAGGAATAGCGAGCGTAAATTAGCTCCTCTCACATCTAATTAATAATTCTAAGGGACAGGCGGTAACCAACGTCGGTCGACGTCTCTTAACGACCGCGAATTTCGTCAGTTAAAACTTGCCAAATCAACCGCAAAGCTGCTCCTGCGGAGTTTCGAGCTTATAAATACCACGTGAAAAGTATGTCCATAGTATGTATTAACGATTTAATTATCTTTAATTTTTCAATTGTAATTAATATTTTTAATGTTACTTATCTAATGTTCGTTAAAACGTTATTAAAAAATAATAGTAGTTACAAAAATTAGATAATTAAAAAATTGCAATTATGCTATATGTATTATCAAATATTTTTTTGATGATAATAATCATTCATTTTTTTATTTTTAAATCTACCAACTTCAGAAATAAATAAAACTATGGTTAAAGTAATAAAACAAAATGGCCTCGGCTGCCTAATCGACACTTTACAAAAGAAAAAAAAAGGCTCAAGCCTCACGATATCTCGAAACTCATTTCACGCGATATCGGCGATAACCGCCCTCCGGCCGAGCGCAATATGTTGCGAGAAAGACAGAGAGAAAGTCGCGATATATTGTGGTATAGGAGGAAGAACGATACGGACTCGATCCTCAAATGGCTAATCGATGCCTGGCCGCGCGCGCGAGAATATGCCCGAGGGATACTGTGTGCGAGTACCGACCCTCGAGCCCTCGAGTCGACTGCTTTCCAACTCCCTCTGTCCTCCCGCAATAACTTCCGCGTTGACACCCGCTCAATTCCGAGGGGTGGCTTCCTGTTCCGAAACTAGGATCTTTTACGACACGCATTCC